GTGGTTGTAATGTGACAAAATATGGAAAAGTTCAAGGGGTATGAATACTTTTGCAAACCACTGTAACTTTAAATGTCTGAACTTCCTGCAGTAAATGTACAGTGGGCTGCAGTAACAGCAATAAATGCTACATGTTTATATGCATGTCAAAATTAGCAAGTTTGCTCAAGGCTAAATGGATTTAAGTGCAGCTTGATGGAGACAACAAAAGTGAGAAAACAGAAAAAGTTACTGTACGTCACATTACTATTATCTAAATGTTCCAAGAAAAGAAAGGTGGACGTTAAAACAACAAGTATCATAAGATAAGTGGACCAAAGAATATTTATTTTGTCCTCACCATGTTTGCTTTTACATACCGTTGGGAGCTGTGTTTTTCAACAATATTTAAAAAAATGCTTCATTGCAGCTCAACACAAAGCATTTTATTTTGTAGAGGCAAGAAAAGTAATTATATCAATGTAGTGTAAAATATGTTTTCAATGAAACTTTGAAGTTTTACAGTCAGAAGTTAGAGGAGCATTGGATCACAAGCATGTGTGACACATACAAAGTGTGATCACAGTTTTGTTTTATTGATAATTTGGCAGAATGAAACAGGATAAAGTATGTGGAGCTGCAGGGTGGTGTACTGAGGTACACTACAGGGTGGCTGTGCTTCCATTGAAACGGGTGAATCTCTTGCTCTGCTCAGCCAGTCCGAAGAGTTACACGAAGAAGGACACAAGCAGTAAAACATCTCTGTCTCATTTCTGTTTAATTACAGAAACACTGGTCCTTCCCTGCAAAAAATAAAAATAAAAATAAATTATAAACTCTTAGTGGTGATTGTGCCGGCCCAATACCTGCTTCACAAACAATTGTAAACAGAAGCCTTTCCTATGGGTATAGCTTTCAAGTTTAGTTTTATATCAGTGACCTCAACTAGAAATTACATTTGGACATTTGAATATTAAATTTGAGAACGTTAATCTATAGTTGTTTCTCAGTTACCATGTACTGTACCTAAAGCTCAGTATTGTGGTCACCTGCTGGTTTCAGGTTTTGTTGTCAAAAATGAAAACAAAACGTTTTATTGCTCATGTAAGAAATATGAGTGTTTAGAATTTAGCCTCTGTAAATGATTTTATTTGTTTGATTCTGCACACATAAATGCTTGGACTAAATATCTCTGTAATGATAGACCTTATCAGTCATGTTCTCTCTCTTCTTCTACTTTAGATGTCTTAACAATGAAGCCCAACCTGACTTCTAAAGTCCTTCACGATTTTAGAAATGGATCCTGTACAGTTTTACTRCWGTGCAGTGGACCGCCTGCCATTAAAGTGAACTACAGCTTCACTGTTGGGAACCAGACCCAGAGAGTCCACAACCTGCAACACACCATCAGACCAGAGGATGGAGCCACTACAATCACCTGCACAGTTTCTAATGCWGTCAGTGAGACATCAGYKTCTGAAACAGTGACGTGTAGAAACACAACTTCTGGTAAAGAACTGACGTTTAATCTGTCTTCTTTTGATTCTGACATTGAAATAAAACTATGTTAAACTTCAGACACTGAATAAAACCAGGGAACAGCTGTTGAGTTAGATGAACTGTTTAACTGTTTGTATAAAACAGAAAAAATGATAAAAACATATTGAACTTTACAGGGTCCGACTCTTCTGTCATTTTTTTCCTTCGTCTGTTTATTGGACTTCTGGTTCTTGTTCTGCTGGTTCTCCTGCTTTACCTCACGCACTCACAAAGTAAGACTTCCTCCTGAAACTCTGCTTATTTAACAAAACCAAGAATTGGTTTATTTTGTTTAATGGTTTATTTTTCCTTTATAGAAATCTGCTGGAAGAGGTTGGTTCATCTTTTGWTTTGTCTTCAGCCTCTAAGCTCACTTCACGTCATTTTAAATATAAAGTAGCTTCTCATGTCTCAGTTTATAGAAAATGTCGAAATTATCAATTCAAGTCCATTTCTGAATGTTCTAATTCAGTCTAAAATTCATTTCTGTTTGTAAAATTTTGTTTAGTTTTAAAATGACAAATCATAAAAAAATATATTTGACTTGTAAAAATTCAACAATAAGTTTATTTGGAAGTTGAACACAAGCAGTGAAAACTCTCAGACATCTGTTAAATATCAGATAAAGATACARTTTGGTTTCTTTTTCTATATTAGTGAATAAATATTAATAATTTCAGGTGCACAGAGTTTGAAACAGTCAACCAGGATTAACAACACATGGTCAGTCTTCTATAAAATTAATCAATATTAGTTATTTTTGCTGACTTTGAAGACCTACATCTAAATGTACCTCATCTCTACCTGTAGGTGATGCTTCTGTTTATGAAAACATGAGGGGCTCTGAAGACCCTGGAAAAGGTAAAGAATGTTCACGGTGGTAATTAAATAAAATAAATTGATTAAAAACTTTCTTTTTCAGATGAACCTCAGTGTGAAAACATTACACCTCTCACCAATCATGGATTGAGACAATAAGACAAAATAAAAAGGACAGAACTGTGGAMTTTATTTGGTCTTTTGTCTTGTCATGGTGAAACTATTACAAGTTGTGATTTACATCATTYATAACTTTATAAAGTTCTGCTTCAGTTCAGTTCAAGACTGAATTAGTTTTCGAGCTCAAACACATTTAAAAGATGTTCAGCAGGGGTAACACATCAAAACCAAGAGCCAGAACAGAATTTTAAAATTTTTATTTTGTTGTTGTCATGTTATTTCACACCGGCAATATAAAGTTAGAGAATCATCTTCTGTTATTCATAGGTTTTTTTTTTACAATTGCTAATTTTATTGAGAAAAGCGCTGTCACTAGTCAACTTATTGAAGCTTGTTGCCAGCATTTGTGTTGAAACTCAATCAAAACCTTGTTTAAATATTTAGCACAATTATTATTGATGAAAATTTATTCTGGGTTTTTTTTTCTGTTCCAGAATATGTTGTACAGAAATATCATTTATACATGCCACTTTATGAGTGTAATGTATAATTTAATCTTTGTATATATTTAAGGTTTTTAATTTTTATATCATTAAACAAGATTTGTGTATTAATCAAGTGTGCCTCAATGCCTTAATATTAAACCACTCTTATTACTTTGATTGTTTGTTTGTTTGTTATTGTTTTCAGCAAGATTTTTTATTTGATATTCATTCTGCAGTTTTAGAAAAACAAAAATACATCAGAGAGTGCAGCAGACTTAGGCGATRTATGCAAAATATAAAGAATAAAGTCAACCTACTGAACACAACTATTGTTTTGAAACGACTGAGAAAACCTGACCTTCTTTGGAATATAACTGAAAACAAATTGTCAGCTGGACAAAATCTTGCCTAAAATGTTACAGTGTGACAACATACAGTAGGTCCCATAGCTGTAAATAAATACTTCAGCACTTCTGGCCACTAGAGGGTTTAGAACTCACGTTTAACACATTTTTTAACCCCATTTGTTTGAGGTTCAATATTTAGTTTGCATTTCTGTCTGCCTGTGGGTATTGACCCTTAAAATAACTTCAGGAATTTAAGCTGTTGCTTTACTTCTTTCTGGTTAAACAGCTTATTGTTGTCTTTTTTGAACTTGAAAAAATAGCTGTCATGTTTGTTGTTTACACATTTCCAGACTTTATTTCCTCCTGACAATTTTCAGGATTTTACTTTAATTTAAAACGTTTAATTTGTTGACACTTCAGAAAATGAATGACTGTATTGTCTTGAAATGTGGTCTGTCTCACTTTCTGCCTGTTTATCTCTCCCTGGTGACTCATTGGTTAGCCTTAGTTCACTGGTGCTGTGTCACTTCTTCTTTTRAAATATAGAGAGCATGCTCTTGTATTTTAAGTAAAGACCCCAGAAAATAATCTTAGATGAATTTGGTCAGTTCATTTTATCTTTTACAGAACACATTTCTGTGGCCCTTATTTAGAAGCAAATAGAAAATAAAGTGAAAGGGAATGTCACATGACATGTTCTCAGAAATGCAAAATGGACTAAAGAATCTGATTAATCGTTCAGAAAAAGGAAATGAGCAGATGAACYAGTGATGCATCAGTTCTGAGTAAAACCACAGAGTCTGATGTAAATGAATGCCCACTTTAACTTGTGTGAAGAACTTCAATGTTGATGTTGTATCTAAGCACAAAAGGTTTCTTACAGAAAAACCAGGATGCCATGTTAAAATCCAAGATGGCTGCCACCAYATACTGTMTGTGTGGAAGCCTCAGGAGCTGGAAAACCTAAAAAAAAATTACTCTTTACTTTTTACATGGTTTAAAAATTTGAAAGTGTAGTTTTCTCAAACGATTGGGTCAAAAATAAACAACATGCTGACTTTTATTTTRGTGTGTGGCTATATCTAGGCATAAGAATGGTCACTATCAGAAATTAGGTTGCCACATCATAGCCAAGATAAGACACCAAAATATTTAGATGTAAAATGACCAMCATGATCACTTGAGAAAACTAGGCYTTCTAGTTTTATTTTACTTAAAAGTATAGTTTAATCTAATAATTGGGTGGCCTTGGCCAACATAGATTAATTTTCGGTCACCCCCTTGCTTCATTATTGCACTTTGTGTACAAAACTGCCCCCTCGGCCGACCAAGATCTGTCACTCTGCACCTTTGACRTGAAAAAATAAATAAATAAAACTACCACAGTGTAACTCCTACTCACCMAAAACAAAACATTAAGCATTGACTGTTCAAATCCTATCCAAAGTTTTTTTTTATAGTTTATTAATGGAACAGGGTTGATGAGAAAAATGATAACAAGTTTGACTAATGAGTACAGGGAACAGGTGTGAGTGGGAGRGGCAARGCTGAGGAGCAGAACTGACTGAAAAGAAAATAAATGTGGCAAACAAAAGAATAAAACTGAACACAAGAAGTCAGAAAATACAGCAGAAAAACAAACGGGTCCTTACAATGACTTTGATTTGTTAAAATAAATAACAGGTTTATTCAAAGGTTTTTAGGCCCCTGTGTGAAACTGATTCATATTCTCCAGTCCTTCTTTTATTTGTGAATTTWAAAATACACAACACCATAAAGTAAWTTTGTAAAATGRTTGTTTTAATGTCAACATTTTTAAGCCTTTTGCCATATTATGAGAAGCACAACAGACAATAAGAAGAAACGTTGTTGTTCCTTTCACATGCGACGTGTGAAGTGTGACAYAGATTCACACTTCAGCCACACGATGGTGCCTGGTGTGTTTTTCTTCCGGTTACCTTGATGGTCTGAGGTGCGGGGGGCCTCTTTGAAAGCATGCACAAAGTTCATCCTGGCCATCGTACATGATAAATACAGAGCTCTGCAGTCAAAGTGAAACTGAGGCACCTAACACTCTACAGACTTTAAATTCACAAGTCTGTGTTTTAATGCAGTGAAACAAACTCATACCAGTCACAAAGCAAGTGAGGTTGGACATTTTGTRGCTTAATTGAACAAAACTGATTAAAAGTGTAAGTTTTATACAATCTGTAAGTGTGACATCACATGAAACAGTTCAAGTCTTTGTGCAATTTATCTATTTATGTTCTAGAAGCAAAAGCTTAAAGTATAAGTTGGGGGGGGTGGGTCTTGTATTATTCAAAGCCAACATTTTTTTAATATATATATCATGTTATGTCATTCCCTCATCAGAAACATACTCAGAGTGTTGCATTGACTCATTTATACATGTTGCCTAAGCACTTGCTGGTACAAAGCACCGCCTATTTACACAAAGCTCCTCCCTGGAGCTCAGTCTCTTGCCAAGCTCCCGCCCCACGGAGCACCCCTCCCCCAAAGCATTGTCGAAGTGCGAATGTCCAAAACAGGATATTCTTCAGGAGACAGGGGCCAATTTAAAGGTATTTAGAAAGGCTATGATGCAAAATTCAATTTATTTTTGACATATTCTGTTTTTTTTTCATAATAACCGAAGGTAACAGTTTTTTGATTGTGGCATAGAATTGAACTATGTGTCTGGAAAATGCATAATACCCCCTTTTAAGTAGCAAAAAAACAGGTGAGGAGCTCAGGTGCTGAAGACAATATATAATGATGTGCTGGAGGTGCTCAGTGAACAACAAAGCCAACAGTTGAAAGCTTTGTGAATATCAACAGGCAAAMGACGGGCACTCACCGTAGTAGTAGTAAAAAAAAGTATTTTAATAAGATAATTGACTAGCACATACAAAGCCTACCAGTTTCGCYGCTCAGGCTTCTACAGGGCTTTCACTCAAGTGCAAAACAATCACAATAAAACATTCAACAACTAAAATGGCTGGTAAAGGCACAGCTGATCATTGTGCTCCAATGAGCCGCAGCCATGTCACAGCGGGCTAAATCAACTGTGCAGGTGGGTAAAACTGCTGCAGACAAAAAAGATGTCAAAAGAGTTATAAAAAAACAATGCTTTAATAAATTACAAAAGCAGTCTAAAATCTGCTTCCTCATTCAAACCAGGTGTTACACATGCTTTCAAGGTTATTATCCAAAATGCTTCTCTGTTTAAAAGCTTGTTTAAACTATCCCCCCATCGAGGTAAAGGAGCAATGTGCTCAATCCCTGTGATGGTGACTCTGTGTTGAGGTGGATCAGTCTGTGTGTTATAAATGTGTRCRGCCATGGCATAATCCTTGTTGTATTTTTGAATTGCATGTTCATGCTCCCAAAATCTGTCTTTTAGCCTTCTGTTGGTTCTAAACCCTGAAAGCCTTGTAGAAGCCTGTGCGGCGAAACCGGTAGACTTTGTATGTTCTAGTCAATTGTTATCTTGTTAAGACTTTTTTTACTACTCCTAYGGTGAGTGCCCGTCTTTTGCCTGTTGATACCCCCTTTTAAATTTTCATGTTTTTATGYTTAATAGTTTTTAGAAAGGTACCTTTTTCATTGTTGTCTCTGTAAAACAATTTGTTGTGTAGAGATAGCATTTGCAGAAGTAACTGTAGGAACTTGCACCCATACATTTTCATCTGTCTACATGTTTGTGTTCCTATCATTAGATGAACAAGACTTCTTGTAATGGTGATCATGGGCCATTTTTACATTTCTGTCTGACTTGGTGTGCTACTCCTGCAGCTTATCGAAACCTGTGGCTCACACCAGTGCYAGGGCTGATAAACATTTTACACCCACAATCTTCAACTCCTACACGGTTTAAACAACAAAACAAACCAATTACAGGACCAGAGGGTGGGCTAGAAAATTTGATGGACAGTATCTAAAAACCATGTCATAATSTATTTTTTACCTGACACCTTAGTTTTTAAAATGATAACAATCAGTGGAGGCTGGTGGTGATGAGGAGTGTGGCTCATCCAAACATCAAACATAGAAATCAGGAAATCGATTTTTTTTGTCTTTTTACTGAAACCAGGTCTTTGGTTTTGCCACATTTCCTTTTTTWYGGATTTGAATATTCTTTGGTCTATCCGCCCACAACCTTTATACTTCTGTTTTTTACACCAAAGACATTAAGGAAAACAGGTGAGAAATTAAATAATTGCCTTGTTTAAGTTAATCTTGCTTGSCATCATCTCTGCTCCAAAACACGCCCACGTACACCGGCGCTAGAGGCAAGTTGTTGTGTGTCGACCCTCACTGGATAAAGCCTGTGGCYGTGGGCTGAACAAAATTGGCCCCAATGAGCTGCAAACTGAGGGGGCGAGACAAGACGTCTGTCAATCTTTCAGAACCAGGAAGACATTAAACGAACGGGGCTGTTTGGCACCAGTTTTGTTGTAAATTTCATAAAATGTGATAAAAAAAATTTTTTATTAGATTTGCCCCGTTGTCCTTCAGTGTCACGTCTGTCACGTCTTGTAAAAGCTGAYGCTGGAATGTAAGCTCCTTCAGATGTAAAATCTAATTTTAGCACAAACAAGTCTATATTTCTTAACTGACTCTTTCATGCTAATCTTGTGCTCATTTAAAAAAATTACAAATATATTTATTTTTTTTTCACCATGGTTTATCTGGGCAAATCCTATTGAGATCTCAGATCTCTGAAGACAAACTATTGAACATGTTTTCTGTGTTAGCGTGTTTAGTTTTTTATATAGATCT